TGCAGGCTGACTGAATCCAGGCTCAGCTGAGGGCTGGTGGCATTCCTGGACACGACCACCACAAACTGGCCATCCCTGGTGCACTGGACAGTCACTGGAGGAAAGACCGCAATATAAGGAAGTGCATTAAGCAGTCCGCTTCAAGTGCTACCCAAGAGGTTTTAGAAAATAGGCGATCCTACCATCATTTCCATAATAACAGCGCCAGCTGCCGCTTCGAGAAAAACAGCAATTACGAGCCTCGCAACCGGCTCTGCTTAACGTCGGGTCGCCACAAGCCATTTTATCACCCTCATCAACCAAGCATTTATCAACCGAAATGCCCAACGCCGCGACCGCAAGGCACAACACAAACCAACTCCTGGAGCCCGTACCAGTATACGCCATTGCAATACGAGAAACTAAGCTATCAAGCAGCCGCTGTTCATTTTCTTAAATACCCCCAGTCCCCCGAGTCCTGACGACGTGGATTGGATAATTGTTCGAGAGCTTGAATCTGACTGCTAACAGCTGGAATAAGTTATCCGCCGCTCAGCGGTCGCTCATTGACGAGTGTGGTTTAGAGGCGCTGAGAGGGCTCTTGAATATTTATCTAGTGCTCTATTATAACTTGAAAACGTCCCATAAAGGGCGCGTTCTTTGTGACACTCGAGATAGTTAGCAAGTAGTACAACTATCGTGTGATAATAGCTGTAAGTGACAACATTTAACAACAAGGGGAAAACCGTCTTTTACAGCAATTACGCGAGTATTTAATTAATGGCCAGCAGTAATTAATGGTCAGGAGCATTGATTTCACAGACCGACGTTACCTGAAGCCTAGACTTGTTCATCTGAATCAACGTTAAATTGCTTAAGATTATGCTAGTCGAGTCTGTAAAATCAACGTAATTCTATTTCTTGATAAAAATGTATACATCACAAGCCAAATATACAGTGTGTAGTTGTCTTAACAACACGAATTAAACCCTTAAACGTTTTTTTTTATAAGCCAATCAGTTTTTCGTTTTAATTACGCAGGTGACGCAGCAGAGCCTTTTAACACTGAAGCTTGGCGTACCGTGATGGCAAAGCCAAATGTAACCCTGACGCGCAAGCAAATTCGAAAAAAAAAACTGCTGTTGTGTCAGTATTATGTCGCCCCCCCGTGGTCGCATTGGACACAAACGTAAAAGCTATTCCTTCTGTGTTTTGCGGCGAATTAAATTAGATTAATGATATAAAAGGGGATAAAACTGCTTCTTCGGACGATGTGGTGTTGGTGTGTATGTGCGTGTTGGGAGAAGTATTCGTATATATGAAACTACATCTTAGCAGTCATATAGGGTTGTAAATAAATTAAGGGGCATTACGGAGTATTTGTCTCATTCCCTCCACTGTGAATTGACACTACCACCATCTGGGAGATGCCTGTGCCTCTCCAGCTGTAAAGGTAACAGACTAAAGAAATATTTCTTTCCAGCTGCAATCGCACTTTCAAACACTGTAAAGTTAATCGTATCTTCTGTAACACTATTCCCTGTTGGGAACGTTTGTATTCTTTGTTGTACGGGGACTGTTCCAGGAACCAATCCCCCCCCCATCTGCCAAAGCCTGAACTGAAAATCGAACAGGCTTACGATAAAATATTGTCAACTCAGAACATTCGCAAAGGATTGGAATTGTAGCTAGTATCCTTTACACCCCCAACTTGAGCTCCCAGTGGCAAAAGTGTCATTTACTGTAGTATTTTCAAATCGTTTTTTCTTAAAAGGTGAGGAAAAGCTCAGAATTCTGGCAGTGGCCCTCTGGATAACATTACTTTCACATGGCTCAGCTACATTTAAAAGCTAATGACACCAGCATGTCGTGTGACTCATTTCATGCCACGAGACTCATAGTTCCACCACATGCTGTACCTGGAAGGCCAGCAAGCTGAAAAAGGGACTGACGGGCAATGTTTCCTCTAATTTTCAATGGCCGGTGGGCGCAAACATTTCAAGTTGTGCAAATTTTTCCCCCCGTGACAAAAACTTGCACGCACTAAATTGAGTGTAAAAATTGTAAACCTGAAATTA